AGAGGGAAGAATCCAGGGAGACTCATAGGTGGCAAACCTGAGTGACCGGAAGCATGGTGGTGATCTTTGACAAGTAGGGAGGCGAGGAGGAGTGAATGTGGAAGAAAGGTCATCTGGGTGGGTTTGGGAGATGCTCAGGTTGAGCTGCCTATGGAGGATCCAGGTGCACATGTCTAGCAGGCAGTTGGAGGTGATCTCAGGAGAGAGGGGAGGGGAGGGCTACAAATGTGGATTTGGGAGAAGCTTCTTCACCGGAAGTTTGACCACTTGTTGAATTATCTGGCCATCGTGACAGATGGAATAATTCTGTGGTGTGCAAATACATACTGTTAAATAGATTATTTCCATTTCATTTCATTGTACTATATTAGGCATTGGAGATACAAAGGCAAAAATGAAACAGTCTCTGCCCTCAACGAGTTTGTGTTCCATTGAGGGAAGCAACACATCTGTACATAGATGGGTCAATTCAAAATATAGACAGGTTTTTTTAGGAGACACACACACACACACACACACACACAACTAACAACTGGGTAAGTCGAGAAAGGCCTCCTAGAGGAGGCAACCCTTGAGGCCAGCTTTGGAGGAAGCAGAGAAACAACCAGTAGAACGGATCTGATCCGTGAGATGAAGTGTCAGGTACATAACGGGGAATAACAAATAGACCCGTTTGGCCAAAGCGCAGACAGTGGAAGGGCTTGGAGCTCGGTTGTGAAGGGCTTTAAATGCTCACTGCAGGAGTCTGGAATTGATTGAAAAGGAGGCCACCAAAGCAGCGTGAGCAGGGAAGCACCAAGGTCCGATCTTTGTTTTAGGAGTGTCAGTTTAGCAGCTAACTGTGGAAGATAGATGGGAGGGGAGAGCAAATAGAGTCATGGACGCCAATTAAGCCAAGCGCTGTGATCCTTGTGGTACCATTTGGGTTCCTGTAAGGAAATAAGTTATTAGACATCTGCCCTGAGTGTAGAGACTTGTAATTTAAGGGGAAAATGTAAAAGGAAATTCTCAATGTTATTTAAAGCAGAGCACCAAGCAAGATATAAATGAATTTATTATAGGCTAAGACAACTAAATATATCATTTTGCCAAGTATGGCATCTCTGAAAGCTATTTAATTGCACATGAAATACTCTCTGTTTCCTTATTACATATTTTTAACTGCAAACAGAAACTCATAAGAAAATGCTATTAAATAGAAAATGAAAAGTGAAAGTATACCTGAAGAGTCAAAATGCTTTAAAAGCTGTAATATGTTTGAAGAATCCTAACTTCCAGGTATTTATTTATTGTTAGGGACCATGCAGTGGAATTGTTGGGTGTTTTGAGGTTGAACATAGAATCAAACAATTGGAAGGGACAACAGAACAAATACCTTCTCCATAGTATCGCTAACCAAGTGGTCTTTTAGCTTTTGGTTGAAGACCTCCAGTGAGAGGCAACCCACATTCTCCAAAGCAGTCTGTTCCACTCTAATAATTGTTAGGAATTTTTTTCTGTACATCAAGCTTAAATCTACCTCTGAAACATTCACCCGTTACTCCTAGGTTTGACCTTTGGGGTCAAAGTGACAATCCTTCAAATACTGAACCTTTTGTCTCTTTTTCAGAGGGGTTCGACTTCTCTTTTATGATGTCTTCTCAATGACTTATCATTGTTTCCCTCTTCTGGACACCCTTAATATGTGGTGTGCAGAGCTGAACACGATGTTCTAGGCAGAATCTGACTAGGATGGAATACAGGGTTGTTTCAATAGACCATTATGCCTCTTTTAACACAGCCTGGATCATATTTTTATTTTTTTAGCACCATATTACATTGTTGACAAAAGTGGAGCTGGTGGTCTATTAAAATCCCCAGATGATTTTCAGATGAACTGTTCCCAAGCCATACTTCTCCCATTTTATACTTGTGAATTTGGTTTCTTGAACTCTAAGGTGAGACTTCATTACTTAATGAGGCCCTATTAAATTTTCTTTCATTAGAGTTGACCCAGATATTTTTGGATTTTGACTTCAACACGTTAGCTATATTCTTCCTAGCTTTTTGTAAGCTGTAAATTTATACGCATGACTTCACTGAAATCATTGGTAAAAATGTTAAACAGCACAGAACCAAGGATACATCCTCACGGAATGCCACTACAGACTTCCCTTGACATTGACATTGAGCTATTTATCAATGACTATTTTTTGGGTCTAGCTATTAAACCATTTACTAATTCATCTAACTATTATCTGGACTATATCTCTCCAACTTGTCCTCAAGAATCAATTGAGAGACTGTCAAATGCTTTTGACAAAATCTAGGTAAACGTTATCTAGATCGTTTCTCTGATTGATCACTCTTTCATTTTTTTTTTTTTTTTTAGTGAGGCACTTGGGGTTAAGTGACTTGCCCAGAGTCACACAGCTAGGAAGTATTATGTATCTAAGTCCGGATTTGAACTCAGGTCCTCATGACTCCAGGGCCGGTGCTCTATCCACTATGCCACCTAGCTGCCCCTTGATCACCCTCTCAAAAAAGGAAATACGGTTGTCTGGCATAACTAGTTATTGAAAATAACTATCCCATTTAACGAATTTGTTCTGGAATTTTGTCAGGTCAGAGTCAAGCTCACTGGCCTATGGTTGCTGAATCTGCATTCTTCTCTTGGCACATGGGCTTTTCAATGCCTTACCTGGGCTCTGTGATCTTTTGATTATCACTGACAGTCATTCATCAGTCCCATCTGCCAGCTTTTCCAACACTCTTTGGTGTAGTTAGCCTGGGTGCGCAGTGACTAAACTCATTAGGTATAGTCAGATGCCGTCTTCTTACTTTGCCTTGTTTTTGAACAATTGGGGGCCACCTCCGGTCGTCCTGATTTATATCTTGCCACTGGACCCAGATGATGCCAGAGGAGAAAGTGTGCCTGGTGACTTTGCACAGGCCTCCCTCACTTAAGTCCAGGTCCCTAGCAGGTCATGGCATCCCCTTCCTGATGTCATTGGTCGTCTTTGAGAACGAAGGACAAACAACAGTTTCCACCCCGAACACAGCCCTTTTCCGGACTCTCCTATTTCTGTCAAGTCCACCCCCCATCCTTCCAGTTTCCCAGCGGTGTAAACTTGGTGATCTCTCCCCCCGCTATCCAAACAACTGCTAAATCTTGTCATTTTTACCTTAATATCCCTCATTCAGATTTTTTCTCTCTACTCAGACTGCCCCCCCAGTGCAGACTCTCCTCACCTCTCACCGGGGCTGCTTCACTTGTCTCGTCTCCTGATTGGCCTGCCTGCCTCAAGGCTCCCCGCTGCCGCCCTTCCTAGTCAGTCCTCCATGTGGCTGCCAAAGGGATTTTCCTACATTCCCGGTCTGACCACATCACTCTCCTACTCAGTAGATTCCAGTGGCTCCTTAATGTGTTAGGATCAAATAAAAATTCTTCATGGCGTTTAAATACCTTCCCGACCTGTCTCTATCATTCTTTCCTAGCACCTTGGTGGACACACACACACACACACATACAGTATACCCAGTGAGTCATTCCTTATTACAAAGGAAAGAGAAAAAAGAAAAAAAAAAGCATTTCAGCAAAACAAACACATTAACATTATTTGAGTATGCACAGTATCCCACACACCTAGGATGTGTTTAGCAAAGAGGGAAGTGCATTTTCTCATCTTTTCTCTTGGACCATTGATAGTACATTTTTCTATATTTTCATTTATAGTATTGTCAGTGTGCATATTGGTTTTTTTGTCCTGTTTACTTCCCATCAGTTCCTAGCAGTTTTCCAAATTCCTCTCAGTCTTTCATATTATTGTTTCTTACGGTGCAGGAATAACGCATCACTTTCATGTAGCATGGCTTTGGTACCCTGAAATGGAGCACTCTCAACACTCCAGCATTGTTGTGGGCCTGCTTTTGTGTGATGTATTCTAGCATGTAAATGCCTTAGATTCTATTGGCCGCCACACTTGAGGATTGGAATCTATTCTCTTTGGCAAGCTATAGTTTGTGAACATTGCAATAGGAGCAAACTTTCTATGTGTAACTTACCTTTGCAAAGAAAAAAAAAGGAGTTCGAGGAACTTTCAACGTAGCAAATGCTGGGAAGAGAAAAAAAGGCTGTGGACTGTGAAGTCCCTGGTTATTCAAGGATTCAAAAAATACGATTGCTCCTTTGACCATCTGAGCCGCCATATTAGAATGTCTGCCCTTCCTATTATTAACTAGGGGAGTGCTGGGGGAATAAAGGCATTGTTTTGGTTTTTATTCAGTGCCAGGTGATGTGTAGGTCATCACTGCCTCTGGACAGTACCAGACCGTTCTTCTTCACCCGTCCTTCCTTCAGATTGGATCGTCCAGACACAAGTGAGCCCAGTGCATTTTGTGAATTTAGATCTTTGGGTGAGAGGAGGCTTTTGGTTTTTGTCTTTGTTTTGGGGGTGAATGAGCACTTGTTAGGAATGTTTTTAGAGTGGCTTCATGTGTCAGGGATGGTTGCAATTAGAAGATCCTGTGATTCTGAGGGCCTTTTTTCCCCTCGCAGAATTTTAATGTTTTTGTTATTCTGAGCTTGATAAGTGAAGCACTTTAGTGAAAGGCTCATTTGCTATTCAAAATGAAGTTTGGGGGCAGTTAGGTGGCACAGTGGATGGAGCATCAGCCCTGGAGTCAGGAGGACCTGAGTTTAAATCCCGCCTCAGATACATAACACTAGCTGTGTGACCCTGGGCAAGTCACTTAACCCCAATTGCCCCACCAAAAAAAAAAAGAAAAGATTTCAAAATGAAGTCTGGTTTTTTTTTTGTTTGTTTTGTTTTTGGATAGCTTGTAGAATGAAGGATTGAATGATATTTGAACTCCTTTTTAATTTGCTTAAGCCCATCAGTTGCTTTTCTGAGTACTGGTATGTATGTGTGTGTTTTAAAATTAGCCCGTCGTCCGTTTCTTTAATGATGAAAGTCCGTGTGGTAAGATGATAAATCTGCTTTTTTTCTTTTCTTTTCCAGGTCAAATCCTGTCTGTGCAACTACCAAACATTTCAAATCACTGAAGCCGTTGGTTTTTGTCTGCTCTTTGCTTTAGAGCCCTGTTTGTATTTGAGTCACCTGCTGTTTTCTCATGCTCGCTGAGACCCGCGGAGCACAGGGACGGGGGCATTGTGACAACAATATGACTAATAGTAAAGGAAGAGCTATCACAAACAGACCTAGCGGCATAGTCAGCGGTGGAGAAAGGCTGGTCAATTGGACTCTCCATTTGAATACAGTTCAGCCTGACACATTTCTAAGCCTTCTATTGAGTATGGTGCCTGTCATTTACCATAAAAGTCAAGATGGCATTTGGCAAGATGGCCTGCCAGCCTCAGCACAGACATTTAACGTAAGAACAGATCAGCACACGGAGTACCATCATTTCTCAGAGCAGTCTTTTCATGGCAATAATGGACACGTTCCATCAAGCTGTAGCCCAAAGTATGATGACTATGCTAGCTATGATTACTGTGATGGGAGGGAGACTTCAGAAACGGCTGCCATGTTAAAAAATGAAGACATGTCTAGTGATGGTGATGAGGATCTCATTGGCGAAGGGAATCGCCGATTGCCAAAGGAGTCCAGTGGCACCATGGCCTTGCAAATCCTGGTGCCGTTTCTACTGGCAGGTTTTGGAACGGTTTCAGCTGGCATGGTTTTAGACATAGTACAGGTGAGTGTTCACCTTTTTGTGTTTTCTTTGATCTGCTTTGCAGATCTATCTTATCACAGAAGACTGAGATGTTTGGGTTTGGTATTGTTGGCTAGTGATGTTCTGAAAGGTTTACTATAAATTATATTTATCAGCTTGCAAAATGACAGAATGTTATGCTCTGATAAAATATAAACTAGCTGGCTTCAGTGAAGCTTTTTAATTTTAGAACTCCTGAAAGACCGACATGATTCTGACCATGAAAACGGTCATGTAGCTCCCAAGAATAAGTAACAGACTAGAAAAAATGAATAAACTGGAAGGGTACAGACATTTCTCTAAATATGCTTGTCAACAGTGTGTACCTGCTTCTCCACAGCCTCACCAGCACTGAGTTTTTTTGCTGTTGATTATTCTTTTCAAGTTTGGTGCTGCCACCTTTCATATCAGTTAGAAGTTAGACCTTTAACAATTACTAGGTATGATTTAAGTAAATGTCTTTTAGAGGATCAGTTTATGAAATAAAAATGAGAACCCATTGCCTCATCAGACTCAGCTTCTTTGCCTTTTGTTATGATCCTGTTTCTTCAGACTTTCAGTTCTACTAAATAGATGTTACTCATGTGGATACTAATTTGAAAATAGCTTTCTATTACTAAAGAGGTAGCAGGTTACTAGTTTCAGAATCTTTTGCGTCCCTTCTAATCACTTTGGTTCCATCGATCATCTTCCCCTTTTATGAAGTTTCGGTCTTTTCCTTTCTGGTAGATTTTCCTCTAAGCCCAGTGACATTCTCCTTCCTAAAGAGAAAAGAAGAAACCTTCCTTTAAGTGCTGCCATCCTATCTCCATACTTCACTCCCATCCTTAGGGGAATGGCCACTTTCTGCCTCTGCTAACTTATCCATCACTCACTCTTCCTGCTGTGTGCTCTCATGGAGTAGAGAGGCTTCCATCATTCACACTTTCCCAAAAGCTTTTTTCATGGTCACTGAGCATCCTTCACGTCACCAAATACGTACCGGGGCCTGTTCTCTGTCTTCCACTTTTTTTTGGACCAGTTTGTGACGTTTGATGCTGAGCCATCTTTTTTTTTTCCTACTTAAATAAAGCTCCACTTGATCTGGTCACACACTTAAAGGATCATCCCATAACTCTGCTTCCTTTCGCTGCTTAACTCCTAGTAAAAGCTATCTACAGTTGTTTCCATGTCCTCACATCTCACTCATATTTTTGCCCCTTTGCAATTTGGTTTTTGACGCTACCATTCAAATGAAACTCTTTTATCCGAGGTTACCAACAGTTTGTTGGTTACTAAATTTAGTGCCTTTTCTCAGTTCTTATCCTTCTTGGTTGATCTGTCTGCAGCATCGACCCTGTCGACTCACCCTTCCTCTGGTATAGTCTTTCCTCCTGGGGTTTTCTTAACCTAGCTTTCTCTTGGTTATTGTCCTGCCCGGTGACTGCTCCAGATCCTCCTCTGCATCACCTTGTGCATGACTCTGCCCTAAGGCAGAGGGGTGAGACACGTGTCTGCAGCACTCCAAGTGTGGCCTGGACCAAAGTGAAGTCTGATTCCTCTCTGATTTTCATGTGTTGGTATATTAATTAAAAAAACATCTAAGCATGTGTGGTTTTCTAAGTCAGCATGTCCTTGCAAGGATCCTTACGTGTGATTTAGTGGCCCTATTTCTATTTGAGTTTGTCACCACTGCCCTAAGGCTCTGTCTTGGCCCTCTTCTTTCTTTGTAGATGTTTTTTCTCCTGAAGACCCCCCCAGATTGATATTTTTTGTGATGATAAATTAGGCCAATTCTCAATTCTTAGCTAGCCCTTAGTCATTGAAGGGAATTGATTCAGACAGACTGAAGCCTGGGAAAGACCTTAATTTAGAAAGGTCAGGGTCATCCGCTGCATCCCAGGCCATCGCCTTCCTCTCGGCTTTTATCTTGCCACTGGACGTCAACGACTGGAGGAGAGAGTGCAGCTATCAGCTTTGCACAGCTCTGCCTCACCTAAATCCAGTTCATGTGCAAGTCAAGACCTCACCCTCATGATGTTATTAAGACCAAATTCTTAATTGGAAAACTGAGGATGGACAGCAGAACAGAACAACAGATAACAACAGATTTATCTCCTGAGCCACAGTCCTGTATCACTGGTTACCTGCTCTGTGTCTCTATCTGGGTGTCTCATAGGCATCGCAAACTCAACGTGTCAAAAACAGAACTTGTTTTGCCCTGGAAACCCTTCTTCCTGACTTCCCTTGTATTGTCAGGGGCAGGTTCACACCATCAGCCGGCACAGCTGTGGCTGTTACTTGTCAAGTCTCACTGTTACCACCTCCGCCCCCTGAGCATCAAAGCCTCCACCCTTAGCATCCTCAAGGTCACTCACCTCTTACATTTCTTATTCCTACAGGTGACTTCCCTGGGCCTCAGTTTCCTCACCTGGACTAGGCAGCCTTTCGGATCTCTTTGAAGAGTAGATCTATGATCCCAGGGTCTCCTTGCATCCAGTCTTTCTGTTCTCTCCTCTGTCTACTACAGAACTGCCAGATAGATCATCTGGCAGCGTAGGTCTCCCTGGATCGTTTCCCCTCTGATCATGAAACTTCACTGGCTTCCTTTGGTTCCTGGGGACAAATACAAGCTTGCTTTATTTGGTGTTGAAAGCCCTCCCAATCTGGATCCAACCTTAGTTCCCGGTGCTTTCCCTGTTGCCTTCTATGTTCTGGACAAACTGGATTGTTAATTGTTCCCCATATTTCCCATGCACAGTATTCAGTCTCCCACCTCCATGCTTTTTTTTTTTTAGGCAATTGGGGTTAAGTGACTTGCCCGGGGTCACACAGCTAGTAAGTGTCAAGTGTTTGGTCTGAGGCCAGATTTGAACTCGGGTCCTCCTGACTTCAGGGTGGTGCTCTATCCACTGCGCCACCTAGCTGCCCCACCTCCGTGCTTTTGTACAGGTTGCCTCCCATGTTTCAGATCCTTCCTAGGGTCTCTGGCTCCACTCAGGGCTTAGCTCCTGTGTTGCTTCTTGCTGTACCTTTCGTGACGCCTCCCCTCACGGTTGTTCAGTGCTCTTTCTCTGACAAAATAACTTTGTGTTGACAGTGTATGTGTTTTGTGATCTTTGCACATGTTATTTTCTCTTAGTATTAGCTAGCATTAATATAGCGCTTTAAGATTTGTAGAGTGCTTTACAAATACTAACTCAGTGCTATTATTATCCCCATTCTACAGTTGAGGAAACTGAGGCCATCTGATCTTCTTGCTCCTTAAGTGGGTGTATTCCGCAAAGTTCTAACCTAGGGCCTCTTTTCTTCTGTTTCTACATTCTACCTCTCAGTGATCTTATCCTTTTTAAGACTTCACTTATCACTTCTATAAAGATCGTGATTGACCATCCAGTCTCTTCCTAGAGCCTCCTGTCCACTATTTCCGGAGCTTGATACTTCTGCCTGAATGTTCCAACACTTCATGAGTAGCATGCCTAAAATCAAGCTTAGCATCTTTCTCCTCTTTCCCCAGAGCTGTTTGGACCCCTACTTCTCTCTCCCCTATTAGTACCTTCCTTCCTTTAAAGCCCATGGTAGGTCCCACTTACCACCTCTCTGTTTGTGACCTTCACTGATGAAAGGGATCATGCCCTCTTCCTATTTCTTTACTGCCTGGTCTCTCAAGCCCTTTCCTCTTTTGTTATCTCACTTATTACAGCAAAACATTGGGTATTTTCCTTCATTAGATTCTAAGCCCTTTCAGTTAGGATATGTTATATCTGTCTTTGTATCCCCAGCACCTCGCACAGGGCTTTGGCACAGAGTGTGTGTTTAATTGTTTGTTGAATTAGATTTCCTTGTTTTCTAGAAAGGAAGCAGAGGGACATGAGTGCTCCCAAGCCACATGCACATAATCTGCTCGCCCTTGAGCTTCTGATGTTGCCTGGGCAAATTCACCTTAATGCCCCTCTTTCTATGAGAAGAAACTATAAAGTCTTCATTGTCATCCTTGGAATCTGGTTTGAATGATTCAGATCAGGGTTATGTTTCTCAGACCAGAACTCTGAATGGGGCTATTCTTCTGGTATAGAAACTAAAGGAGTAGGTGCTGAGGGAAGTGTTTTGCTTGAGCTTTTTAAGGTCAAGGCAACAATGTTTTCAAAGAGTAGGCAGAAGCAAAGAGCATCAAGGCTGGGAGAGTTTTGCCTATAGTCAGTCTTCTGAACACAGTATATCAAGACAGCACCACTTGGTTTCTTCCACTGCGGTTTTGGCATTTCAGCTCTTGATCAAGAGTAATCATGTTTAGTGGAGAGAGCCATGGGGTAAATGTCTGAGGACCTGGGACAAATCCTGGTTTTTCTGCTGACTCAGTAGCTTTGGGGATGTCACTTCACATTTTTTAAATAAGGGGGACTGGTTCCTGTCCAGGGTCCCTTCCAGCTCACCATCCTCTGGTCCTTGTTTCACTTTTCAGAGTAAGATGGAGGAAAAATATCACATTTTTTTCAAAGTGTATTTTTTGTTTCTGACTTATATATACTTTCTCAACTGACTAAATAATTATACTCTAGTTTTGTTTTGTTTTTTTTTATTTTTCAATTAATAAATCAATAAAAATCAGTGTTTATTAAGCACTTATTATGTTCCAGGCATTGTGCTGGGCATGAGGACACGAAGACAAAGTGGAAACAGCCCCTGCCCTCAAGGAGCTTACATTCTAACCTAGGAGACAACATGCACGTGTGTATATTTGTAGTAGGGACATACAAAACACATGGAAAACTTCCCTTGAATGGGAAAACACCAACTACCAACCAGGAGGATGACTGAAGTCATACCCCCTTTCCCTCATGCCTTTTGTATTTCAAGGCAACCCTTTAATCTAGATTTTTTAATTTTTAAAATGTTTTTCTTCATTTTTAAAAACCAAAACTCCATCCATTGATCAGTAAACATTTAATAAGTCTCTACCATGTTCCAGGCTCTGAATATATACAGACAAAATCAAAATAGCCTCTGCCCTGGAGGAGCTTACGTTATTGTGGTGGAGGCTGACATGTGCATGTCTTGTAGGTGTACACACACATGAACAAGGGACATAAAGCTACCTTGTGATGGAAGAGAAGAGGAAGGCGCTGAGCATGGAGCAGGGGTGGGGGTGGGGTGGTCTGGGCTGTGCTACAGGAAAGGTCTCAGGCCGGAGGCAGCGCTTGAGCTGAGCCTTAAAGGAAGTCAGGAGATGGTGGCGAGGAGGAGCTGTTCCTCTCCTTGCAGCCCTCCCCGTGGAGTTTTAGGTGAAGAACTCCTGGAGGTCATAGCAGCCCTTGGAGTTTATCCTAAAGCTCTGGTCTCAGTGGATACCATACTGGCCGTTCCAGCCTGGAAGCCTGTGCTTTTGCCATGAGGTAGGACTCTGTCTCCTATTCCATCTCTGCCCGTTTGGCCGGAGACCAGTTCAGTTTTGTTATGTTCTGGTTTAGTGTTCTGTAGTCTGTGTGGAAGAGTCTGTTGTGGTGTCCTTAGGAGCTGGAGGAGTCAGCAGGGCAAGAAATGACCTCCTGTTTGTCTTGTTTGCTCTGTGCTTCACCAGCCCTCTTAGCCATTCACACACTCACACTGGCCTTCTCGCTGGAAACTCCTCTGCACCCTAAGGTGGGAAGCACCCGTCCTCAGTAATATTTCTCACTGGAGGAAAACTCTGTTATTGGTAGCTTTTCCTGGGGCTCTTTGTAAGGATGGGGAGCGGAACAATTATTTCTTTGATATAGGGAACTCTTTGATGGAGACACGCCCCATGCTGGTATAGCAACATGTAGTCTTAGAGATTTCCTTGGGTTACCCAGGTTCATTACTGTGCTCGCTTCAGAACTTGCTCTCTTCTGTGCATGTTTAAGATGTTCCATTGGAGTTCATTTCTTTCCGTTCCTCACAGGTATCATTCCTCTTCCTGCCCCCCCATCACTATTCTACCTCCTCTGCCCCTCCCCTGCTCCTGTAAAAATCTTCCCTTGTAACAGATAAATCTAGTCAAGCAAAGACAATTTCTGCATTGGGCATGACCAAACACGTGCACCTCTCGTCCATTATCTGTCTGCCCAGAAGCAGGAGGCTTTCGGCATCTTCGTTCTCCTGGGTTGTTGGTCCTTGTGCGCTGATCAGAGGTCTGACGTCTTCCGGAGTTGTTTCCTTTATGTTTTTGTTATTTTGTACAAGTGGTTCTTTGGTTCTGCTCACTTACCTCAATGTCATGGTTCATCCGTGTCTCCCCAGGGTGCTCAGACTGTGTCTCTTTTGTTACTTCTTATGGTACAGTGATATTCCATTACGTTCATAAACCATAATTTGTTCACCTATCATCCCTTAGTTTGTTTCCAATTCTTTGCTACAACAAAAAATGCTGCTATGAATATTTTTGTAATGTGGGTCCTCTCCCTTTGTCTTTGATCTCTTGGGGATAGGTGCCAAATAGGTGTTTCTAGATCAGATTATGTACATTTTCATGGCTTTTTGGGTCAAGTTCCAAATTGTTTTCCAGAATAGTTGTGTGAATTCATAGTTCCCCTTAGTGGTGTCTCTTTTCCCAGTCCCTCCAACAATTGTCATTTTCTTTTCTTTTCTTTTCTTTTTTTTTTTCATTTTTGCCAGTTGCTTCATAGTTGTTAACTATCTCCACCTGTATCAACTTGTCTTGGTCATTAAAGCAAAACAAAATTTCTTAGTAGTCTAGCTAGAGACCATGCTGACTTCTAAAGAGGTCAACATTGTATGTTTTTAGCTCTCTTCTTTGTGATACCTCTGCTTCATGGATTAAGGAATTTGTTTGATGAAAGCACAACGTTGTCCTGGTAATTACAAACCATATTTAGTCTTCATTTTCTTTGATCGCTTTACATGATTTTCAGATTAAATTCTAACTTCCTTATACTCTGCACAATGGTAATTATGCCTCTCTACAGGTTTCGCATTTCATATTCACAACTATCTGCGCCAAAACTGTGCTGCCGATAGCAAATTATTGATGCAAAATGAGTTACAATCATTTTGATCTTTGTTTTTGGTTTGATAAAATTGCATACTCAGAGTGGGAAAGTGAAAATGTTTCTTTGATAAGCCTCATAGCCTAACCGGAAGGAGGAAAAAAATGCTTGTTTTCATTTTGTAGTTGATTAAATTAAGCCACAAAAGGATAAAGCAATAGTCTAGTACTGAGGGCATGGAGCACCTCTCACAGAGATCGGGTGAAATGAACACCTTGAGTTCAGTTCTCCCCCTTGTAGTAAGACCTGTTCATTCCATCAGCCCACTCGCTAAAGTAAACCCCGGGCATGTGGAGAGAACAGAGCAGAAGGTTTGAAGTCTACGGGTTATACAACATGCACAGCTAGCCACGGTGGAGTTGAAAACAATTTTAAAATAGAAGTTAATTTTCATTCTGTAGCACATTAGATGAAGGTGGGTAGAGTGTAAAATATGACTTTTGGGAAACTTTAATCTGAACTGTTCTTTTCCTTACAGCATTGGGAGGTGTTCAAAAACGTGACTGAAGTTTTTATTTTAGTCCCTGCACTTCTTGGTCTCAAAGGAAACTTGGAAATGACATTGGCATCCAGACTGTCAACTGCAGTAAGTCATTTCCTCACTTCTGAATCATGGTTATCACAGGACAGACCAAATGACCTGTGGCCTCTGGCAGTACCCAGGATCTCAAAGGTAGTTAGAAGGGACCTCGGAGGTCATTCAGGTGGAGCTGACCCTGAGCAGACAGAGCTTCCCTCTGGATAGTCCTGACCAGTGCTTAGCCAGCACCCAGTGGGGATTCTCTCCCTCCTGCCGCGACCTTCCTGTTTGCCTTTTTGGATGCTCTGAGTGTTTGGATGTTTTCCTTTATGCTCAGTCTAAATCTGCCGCTCCGTAGCTTCCCCCTTTCCAGTTTTGCTTCTAGGCCTGAGAAGAACATGTTGAATTGTAAAGAATTTTAAATCACTCCTTTCCCCCCATTTTGAAGCCTTGTCTGATAACATTAAGGGATGAGAGGGCTCATTTTCCAAGTCAGGCCCTCTTCCTTCAGCCTGTGGATGAACTTGTCTATATCAGATGCAGGGTTTGAGTAAAGATAAAAAGAGCAAGTGGCATGTAAAAACTGAAATTCTCGGAAGTTTCAGGTGAACTGTAGGTTCCTAATTTATTGTTCCTAGAGCTCTTTTGTTAGTAGGGCTAGATGCATAAGGTTTGAGTTAGTTCTTATTACATGAACTAGTTACTGGAAAAGCAAATTTAGGAGGTTGTGCTAAATTGTATTGAGTCTTGTTACTGGCAGATTTTAGCAGAATTACCTAGGAATCTCTTGAAGGATGTAGAAGTAGAGAAACGGACCTTCTGGGAGAAGATTCCTTCAGAGCAGCTCTATGCATAAGGCCTATTCGGCAATGTCCAAGGGAAGATGTTTCCGGGGACCAGAAGACTACATGGCACATCTGGGACGCAAGATGAAATGTGCTGATTAAGTGAAATTGGGAGTAGGTTACTGGGTCACAAGGAGATTTGACATTAAAAAATGTGTACGCTTTTAAGGACAACAATTTGTTGTTGTTCAGTTGTGTCCGACTCTCTGTGATCCCATTTGAGGTTTTCTTGGCAGAGATCCTGGAGTGGTTTCCTGCTCTACCTCATTTCATTTTACAGATGAGGAAACTGAGGCAAACAGGGTGAAGTGACTTGCTTGGGGTCACACAGCTACTGAGTGTCTGAGGCAGGCTTTGAACTCAGGGAGATGAACTCCAGGCCTCGTGCTCTATCCACTGCACCACCTAGCTGCCCCAGGACAACAGTATCATTGGACATAGTATCAAACGCTTTAAAATTCAATGACTTGTGATAGATTACAATGAATAATCTCTGTCTTGGAGAACTAAGAATGAAACACATCCCCCTCCTCTCAGTCAGGAGGGTCCAGGGCTGTGGATTTCCAATGCAGTGTGTGCTATCAGACGTGGCTTTGGTATTAGTTGGGTTTGTTTAAACGTGTTCCTTTGTTACAAGGTAGAGTTAAATGGCGAAGGGTGCCTAAGGACTAATGTTTGTCATATTAAAAAGGAAAGACAACAATAAAACTTTAAAAAAAATTTTAATAACACCTTTGGTAACTAATTATAGCTGTGGTTCCTCAGCTCCTTGTTTAAAAAAAAGGGGGTAAGAATTAAATTGTTTTGGCTTTAGCATTTACTTTTATAAGGTTTTTCCTAAAGGTGCTGGAAATTGGAGAAATGTGATGGGAAATTTTAAAAGAAAAAACTAAGTTTATATTAAACTTGAGGCAAGAGAGAATGACACTAACTTTAAAATATTCTGACAGCCATTTTCATTTTATAAGTTTTGGAATGCTAAAGGAATTACCTAAGGAAATATACTGGTTAACATCATTAAAAATTTATATTGAATTTCACATGCCAAAGGATATGTGATTTCTGTTTGTATATAAAAAAGGGTGATCAGGTCTTCTGGTTAAGACAGCAGCATGAATTGGCTGTCAGGGAGCCCAGATCTTGAACATACCCTCAAGCAATTATCTTAAAAAACACCAAACTGAATAATAATTACAATAATATCCACGGAGAAGTTATAGTAAACTTTATTAACTCACCAAGGGCTGCCCAACAAGCTATAGGAAGAAGCCTGTAGGCCCTCAAAAAAGAGTCCTGCTAGATAAACCGGCCTGGGCCAAGTTAAATAATCTGGAAGTTTTATCAGTGGAGACTAGAGCCTCTCCAGCAGTCCACGGAAACCTGAAGCCTCTCTCTGGACTAGCGTGATCCGATGACAAAACTCTAAGGTGGTCAGAAACCTGGAGCACCGCCCGCATGCGACCTCACACAACCCTAGTGGTATCAGAAGTTCACTTCACTTTGACTTGAACCTTCCTGGAGGGCCATGAAGATTGAAGCACTCTGAACTCAGAGGATTGAGGGAGGCCACTGAAGATATGGCAGGTAAGTGGACAGGCGGTAATCAATGAGCCAGTCACAGGGCTAAGTTTTAGAAGCTAAGCCAGCAGAAAGAACTTAGCAAATCAAGGAAAGGTCCAAACAGGAGCTACCTACCAGTGCAGGAGTGAGTTAAGCCTGCCCCTAGCACAAAATTCCAAACCAAGAAGTGGGCCTGAAAATATGAGTGGTCAGAAGATGCTATGAAGACGTATCCTGGATCCAGCGATACAGAAGGGACGAACCCAGAAGAGAGAGCAATTCTCTAACACCATGTCCAGAGCCTCTGAGGAAAAGTTGGCTTGACCACAAGGACTATCAAAGTACCTGGAAGAAATTAAGCAAGAAATAAAAAATGAAATTGTCAGTGAAAGAAGAGTTTTAGAGGAAAGAATTGGAATGAAAATGAATAACTTAGAACAGTAGTCAGGAAACTTTATCCAAGTAAAAGACTCTGAAAATTGGAACATACCAAACATTTCAATGACTACATGAAACAAGAAATATTAGAACAAAGTCAAAAGGTAGAAAAAATTAGAAAATATACGGTATCTACTATCAAAAACAACTGACCCAGAGAACATGTCAAGTAGAGAAAATCTAAGAACTATACTCCCTGAAAGCCATGACCAGAAAAAGCATAGCATCCAAAATTTAATAAACAGAAACTGTCCAGCTCTGTTAGAACCAGAGGGCAAAGTAAAATAGGAATCCACCAATCACCTTTTAAAAGAAGCTCCAAAATGAAAACTCCCAACCCAAAGCCCAGAGCTTCCAAGTCAAAGAAAAAATATTGTTCACAGCCAGAAACAGAGTTCAAGAACCCAGGGGCCAGTCAGTATCCCACAAGATTTGGGAGTCACTTGTGAAAAAGAAGAGAAAATCTAGGAATACAGTATTCCACAATGCAAAATAATAAAGTCATATGCAGATATATTACAAGTAAAACTGAATATAACCCTGTCGATCAACTGGCTCCTTCCCTACTGCCCTCAAACATGCCCACATTTCCTCTGTCTTGAAGGAACCCTCATTAAACTCTACCATCCTTTCAAGCTACCATCCTATCTCTCTCTCTCCTCCATTTGTTGGCCAGACTGCCTGAAAAAGCTGTGTGAGGTCACTGCTGCCATTTCCTCCCTTCTCAATAAACCCTCACCCCTTTGCATATCAGCTTCTTTCATTATTATCCAACTAAAATGGCTATCTCCAGAATTGCCAGCAATCTCTTAAATGCCAAATCAGATGGCCAGACTGCTGCCTCTGACACTGCTGACCACCTTCTCCTTCCTGAGACTCTTGCCTCCCCGAATTTTCCTGGAATGACACTTCTGATTCTTCTCCTCCCTGCCTGGTCACCCCTTCTTAGGTTCCTTCACTGGCTCATCAGATATATCAAACTCCTTACCACTGGATGGTCTTCAGAGTCCTGCCCTAGGCCCTTTTTTCTGACCAGGGAGGTTGGACAGATAGGTTGGGGTCAGGTTTTGTAGGGCTTTCAAAACCAAACAGAGGAGTTTATTTATTTTATTTTATTTTACCTAGAGGACTTTTATTTTATTTTATTTTATTTTACCTAGAGCTAATAGGAAGCCACTGGATTTGACTGAGCAGAGGAATGATGTGGTCATATCAGTGTTTAAGGAAAATTAAATGTTGAAATGGAGTGGTGAGAAACTTTGGATACAGAGATCAGTTAAGAGGCTGTTGCAAAATGTAGATGAGACATGATGAGTTCCTGAACTATGTGCCAGCTGTGTGAGTGGAGGAAGAGGGTTGAATGCAAGAGATGTTGTAAAGGTAGAAATGGGAAGATTTGGCAACTGATGAGGAGTGTGGAATGAAGGAGACGAAGGAGCCCAGAATAATGACAAGATTAAGTGCCAGGGAGTCTGGGAGGGTGGTGGTGCCTTGGACAGAAATAGGAAAGTCTAGAAGAGGGGAGAATTTTGGAGGAAAGATAATGAGTTTAGTTGTTTACATGTTGAGTTTGAGATGTCTTGGGGATATTCTGTTTGAAATGTTGAATTTGTTATATAATTTTTAAAAATCAAGGTGTAATGGACTTATGATTTCACACATAATGCTCCTTGTCTAGTCTTTGTAAATAGAAATGTTCATATTTGTAGGGGTTTTTCAAGTCTAGGATAACAATAAAGATTATTTTGAAACATCAAATTTGAATAAAATACACTGGCCCGGGAAGATTGCTTTCCATGTGTACTCTTTTCTCTTTAGTCTACTAGGGATGCACAGGAATGAAGAGGTAGAGAATTTTCCAGTCTGCATCTGCAGCTACTTTGATTGGCTCTCATTCCCCCTTTTCTCTAGCTCAGTCTTCTTCAGTCACCAGATAAGTTATGAAAATCTGAATGAAACGAAAAACAGGTCAGGCAGTTTGACTAGGGCTAAAGACTGTGTACTGTCTTCTCTACCCTATGCTTCTGTGTTTCCAGAAACCTACAGGGAATCAAAAGCCTGGTGGATATTGCTAAAAGGCCTGCTGTGTACTCAGGGATTCCATGATTTCATCGCTATGGGAACCCATTCCTCTATGCCTTAGGGATGAGTTGCTGTAGTTGAAAAAAATTCCTCATCTGATGGCCAGCTCTTTGGCTTCCAGAATGAAATCGGCCTACATCT